GTCGGGAGTGAGGGGCACCGGCAGAGCTGTGGGGGGAGCCCAGGGTTGGGCTAGCAGGGGCTGCGGGTCGGGAGTGAGGGACACCGGCAGAGCTGGGATAGGAGGGGACAGTTCAGGGGAGTTGGCAGAGCCGGTCTCCAATCTGCCTCCTCCTGGGTAGTGGATTTGGGTGAAAAAGTCTAAGCGGGGTCGGGCCCCATCCTGTGTCTTGTAGCAGCGGGAGGCAAAGTTCTATGAGAACATCTTGAAGGTCCTGCGGCCCAGCCCAGACTACTTCGCCGTGGGCTACTACGGGCAGGGCTTCCCCACATTCCTGCGGGTAAGAGACCCCCTGCCTCCCCTGGGCCCATCCCAGCCAGGCCGGCCTCCCACCCTCTGCCAGCCCACAGCTGAGCACTGGCATGTGCTCCTGGGCCCGATGCCGGGTCGCTGTCGGCCCCTTTGACAGCCTTGAGCGAGGGCCCTCTGCTGATGGCCGAGCCCCAGACCCCACCATGCTCCTCTCCCCCTGCTGCCTCTGGAAAGACCCTGTGGCCTGGAGCCCTACGGCTTGGGGCCCCTGCCTCGACTTCCCTGAGAGAGATTCCAACAACCCTGACAGCGTGCAGGGCCTGGGGGGAGGGGGAAGGGCTGGGATAGTGGGGGAGGGGCCAAGGGGCACCGGCAGAGCCGAGGGTGGGATAGTGGGGGAGGAGCCAGGCCGGGCCCCCCACTCCCCGCCAGCGCCAGCTGGTCCCCCACCTTCACCCCCGCTGGGCCAGGCCGGGCCCCCCACTCCCCACCAGCGCCAGGTGATTCCTCCCCCCCCACACCTCGCGCTGGGCCAGGCCATTGCAGCAGGGTTGGGCTGGGCAGACGCGGCCCTCGTGGGCCAGGACAGGGACACTGACCTTTCCCCCCACCCCCCAGAACAGGGTGTTCATTTACCGAGGCAAGGAGTACGAGCGCCGGGAGGACTTTGAGATGCGGCTGCTGACTCCCTTCCCCTACGCCGAGAAGCTGCAGAGCACGTCCCCGCCGGAGCAGGACGTCACCGACTCACCGGGCCAGTGTATCCTCCCCGTACCCAGCTCCCTGGCCAAGGCCCAGCTGTCTGGTGTCCCGGTGTAACCCACACACCTCCTGGGCGTGGGGCTCTGTCGCATCTAGTGGCACCGAGATTACGAGTCTGCCCTACAGCCAGCTGGCTTTTAGCTCTGCAGTCGAGGCTCATGCACTGAGCTCCAGAGGTCCCTGGTTCGATCCTGCCTGGGTCCAGGAGCGGTGCCAGGGTTTTTGCCGCCCCAGGCGGCAGCGCTCCTCCTCTGAGCATTTGGCGGTGGGTCCTTCCGCTCCGCGTCTTCGGGGCACTTCGGCGGCGGGTCCCGGAGCGAGTGAAGGGCCCGCTGCCAAATTTCCGCCGAAGACCCGGAGCAGAAGGACCCCTCGCCGTTGAATTTCCGCCGAGGTTGGCAAAATGCCGCCCCCCAAATCCTGCCGCCCTAGGCGACCGCCTAGGGTTGCCTAGTGGAAGCGCCGGCCCTGCCTGCCGACCACCGGGGGCTGTCGGTGTTACCACGGGCACGGGAGCCTGGCAGAGCGTGTCCCCCGTCCCAAGCGCGCCCCGCATAGGCCCTCCCCTCCCCCGAGTGCACCCCGTGTAGGCCCAAGCGTGCCCGCCATGGGGCTTCCCTTGCGCAGGGCTCAGCCCGGGACAGACCCGAGCTCTGGCTGTTCCTTCACTCGGCCCAGATATCCAGTGCTTCACCGTGCAGCCCGTGGAGGAGGCCAGGGACCGATTCAGGGGCAGGAACGTCCCCGAGCAGATTGTCAAGTGAGTGCCCAGGGCCCAGACCCCCCAAGGAGGGCGTGCCAGTGCCCCCCAGCCCCAGCTCTTGGGGCCAGGAAGGGTGCTCGGGGGGTGGGTCCCCAGGCATGGGAAGGCGTTTCCCCGGCATGGGGGGCAATTCCCCAGGGGGCCAGGATGGGAGCTGGGGCAGGGGGGTAGTTGATGCAGGTCCTGGGACAGGGTGCAGTACATGGAGGGAGTGCCCCCCCGATGCTGCCCCCCTCCCCGACGCTGACCCCCACCCCGACGCTGACCCCGCCTTCTTCCTGCAGTTTCTATAAAGCCAACAACATCCAGCAGTTCAGCTACTCGCGGCCCTTCAGGAAAGGCCCGAAGGACCCTGACAACGAGTTTGCGGTGAGCCAGTTCCTGGGGTAGGGGGGGGGCCCCGTCTTTGGGGGGGACGGGGGGGGGGCGGGGGGGCCGGGGGGGGGGGGGGCAAGGGGGGGGGCGGGGGGGGGGGGGGGGGGCCGGGGGGTTCCCAGGTGGGAGGAACTGTTCAGCTTCCCTCAGCCAAGGCCCATGTGATGACTGAGCTCTGACACCCCCCCTAGACCATGTGGATCGAGAGAACGACCTACGTGACGGCCTATCCGCTGCCTGGGATCCTGCGCTGGTTCATGGTCATAGCCACCGCCAGGGTGAGGCCCTGGCAGGGGGGAACTGAGGGAGGTGGGAAGCGGGGGGGGGTGCCGGGCATGGGTGCCGAGTGTCGGGGGGAGGGGTGCTGGGCGAGGGTGCCGAGCGGGGGGGGGGGGGGGGGGGGGGGGGGTGCGGAGCATTGGGGGGGGGGGGGGGGGCTGGATACGGGAGCCAAGCACCAGGGAGGGGTGCCCTCCTACCCATGCTTAGCCCCCCCACCACTTACCCCCCTCCCCCCCCGCGCGCCTGCCCCAGGCCTTTGGTCTTGGCTGGGGTCTCTGCTCAGCTCCCGGCTGAGAGGCAGGAGACCCGGGAGTCACTGGAGCTGGCGTTGTCTCTCCGAGCCCCTGGTGCTCTGAAGCAGTTTCAGCCGGTTCCTTACTCTTGGCCTGTCCTGAGAGCAAACTTAACCCCTGCCCCGCTGGGGAGCCATGCAAGGTCTGGGGGAAACTGAGGCACCCATTCCTTCTTTGTCACACCTGGTTAAATCTGGATTCAATGTTCTCTGGCCAGTCCCAGCTGCCTGGTGAGCCCCAGAGGTAGTGTGGGGGGAGGTGGCCCCAGCCCTGCTTGTGTAGGGCCTAGGGCAGGAAGCCTGGCTTGCCCAGGAGTCCCCGGCCACAGGGGATGGACGCAGCAGAGCCAGGATTCTGGCGACGCCCTGCGTGTTGGGAGTGTAAACTGGCGACGTGACCCTCGGATCAGCTTGGACGCAGGCGGGCGAGATTTGTAGTGGGGTCCCTGGGGGGGATCACAGCCTGCCCAGGCGGGATTGTGGTGCGCCAGGGGGGCCCTGGGTGAAATGGGCCGAGCCCCCCAGCCCTCTGCAGCCACTAAACAGCCTCCCTCCTGTGGCCCAGACCATCATCAGCCCCCTGGAAAATGCCATCGAGACCATGAAGAAAACCAATGAGAAAATCCTGACCGAGATCAACCGGCACCACAGCGAGCCCAGCCTGCCTGTCAACCCGCTCTCCATGCTTCTCAACGGCATCGTGGACCCGGCCGTCATGGGGGGCTTCGCCAAGTATGAGACGGTGAGAGCTCCGGGGCAAGTGGGGCAGAGCGCAGTCCTGCTGCTTTGGAGGGCTGACCCCAAACGAGGGGGCATCACCACCTGCCTCCAGTGAGCTGCTGTCGTGCAGGGAGCAGTGTAAAACGTCACAGAGTAGTTATCATCTGTGGGGAGCCCAGGGCTGGGGTACCAG